AATAGCACGTTTGACCACTTATGTAAAATTGAGAACATCCGTGTCTACCCTCGTACCCTGGACCCAATGTCATTGCCCCGGGAATACCAGGTTCAGACAACCAAACATAACCAATACTACGAGCAAACGCATGAGGATATAGGCATAATCCAATTAAACACCAAGTTATATCTCGATGGTAAAAACATGAAGGCTATATGCTTGCCCAAAATGGACGAGATGAATTTGGGCAACGAGTACGCCGCGTTTGGGGGCTATGAGAGTGACAAACTGGCCAAGCTTAATGGCAGGCATAGTCGCAAATTGATCATGGGCTGGACACTGATTAATAAAGCTAAGCAAGGCAAGAACTCTACCCGGGCAGAGCGATACCTAATTAATGCCACCACCATAGCCTATAACAGTAATAACAGGCTGGTGTGTCAGGTAAATATAGTTTGACTCGGTAAATATACTGTGTATTATATATCGATATATTTTCGTTGGTATATTTTATACTATTTAATTAGCAAGATCAAAAACGATTATTCTAATATTAAAATGAAAATATCATTAGTAATGACAATTACTTAAATGTTATTCAAAATCTAATAGTTTTATATGACCTAGACGGACCTGGGCGCCCCATTAGTACAGTACGTGAACAACAGGGCTGTGCTAATTGGCATGAATGTATCACCAAGCTATGTCACTGGCAATTGTGAGCTCAATTTGACAACACATATGGTTTATCTAAGGATTAGTCGACACATGAGATTCATTTTACATGAGGTGCAAAATATTCTGCACCTCCCACCAGGATAATTAGCTTTATCATTTAAATGGTGCTAAATTAGCTTTATTTTAGATTAATGTCTATTTTGATGGTTTACAGTAGTGTTACAGTAGCTTTACATTTAATTATTTTAAAAATGATTTACTCTAATTAATTAAATACAAATATAAATATATACAAACTTTATATAATTGTTTTATTAAAAATAAAAATTACCATGTTATATTATTTAAATGTTTAATCAAATTAAATAATTTAGTAATTGTATTAGAATAAACAAATATGGAGTTATGGAAAGAGAGAGAGAGAGAAAGAGAGAAAGAGAGAGAGTGATTGGGAAGTGTAAAAAATGATTAACGAGATTAATTATTAGAATGTTTAAATATTACACACAAAGAAATAAAAAATTATGTAAATAGAATTGTAAGAAATTCAAATACTGTAAATTCTATCAATACCTATTTTGATACTAGAGACATTTAATTTAAGAAACTAATTTATGCAACAGCAATTATATTGATATTTGTTATAGAGGTCACACTTTATTTATATCGTAAATATCCAAAAGTCCGGTGTTTGCTTTTAAATAAAATATTACACGTTTATTTATTTGCATGAATATTATTTATAGGTATATTATCTATAAGTGTTTCTAAAAAATGTCCTGTATTATAAAGTATGCCACCGTCCACTATTAAATTAGTACCGGTTATAAATTTAGCATCATTTGAAGCCAGGAATACCACCGCTTTGGCAATGTCCACAGGCATACCAGGGCGACTCAATGGCGTTAATTGTTTTGTAGAATTAATTTTTTGACCAAATCCCGGGCTATTATATTAAAATAATGTGCAAATATTACATTTAATTTATCATGATCATACGCTTAATTAATCTACAAGAGTAATTAGCAATAATATAATTTTACAATAGTAAAATGAGTAAATGCTATAATTATTTTTATTCTTATTTAAATTATAATTATTTTACCTGATTGAATTAATGCGAATTCCCCTTGGTCCCAATTCAAGCCCCAAAATTTGTGTCAGCGCAATTTGGCCAGCTTTCGATGATGAGTAGGCATGTTGAACTCTAGACTAATTTATAACTAAATTAAGTTGTCATGCACTTTATATGCTTCATGTACAATTAATTATATTTAATTAGTGACAGGTATATTATTCAATTCAATAAATTGAATTCTATTTATTTAATTAAACATAATTCAATAAGGTATTATTGTTTAATAAACCCTATAAAGGGTAAAATTAAATCCTTTAATAAACTAAATTTAATCAGTGTTCAGGGTTAAAAACAACTGGACACATTTAAATACATACCGGATAATAAATACATAGTATGTAAAGTGCATACATACTGGAATAATGCCGGCAACACTGGCTATGTTAATAATGGAGCCCCGGGTGCGCTCCAAATGAGGTACTGATCGGTGTATGAGCTCTACGACTGCCCTCAAGTTTATGGCAAACATTTTGTCATAAGTTGTCAATAAGTCTGACGAATTGATCATGGTATGCGTTAAATGTTGCCCCGCGTTGTTAACCAATATATCAAGTTGACCGAAATGTTTTATCGTCGAGTCGATTAAATTGGCTAACTGATCGCTCTTGGTCAAATCTGCCGCAATCCCCAATGGCTTATTATATATTCATTAATGTAATTAGTAATTATGATTAAGTATTCATTTATTAATTTAACATAATTTAACTTTGACTTTGATTTATATCAATTTAATCTCAACGTGTAAAAATTTTTATTTACGTTAATAAAATATTATTATCTGTTAGTAAATACAATTTATGTAAATATTTATAAACATTAATTAATTGCTCACGCTACACTACAACCTAAATATTACTTTATTTAGCCATCATTATTAATATAATGACTTACTGTAAAAAATTCTGGTGATAATCTATGACACTCATTGAACACACGATTAATCCTGGCCTCATTCCTGCCGGTGACCACAACATAGGCGCCTAAACTGGCAAACAGTTTGACAATACCGGCGCCGATACCACTGTTAGATCCGGTGACCAGCACTACCTTTTCACTGAAGTTACGGCTCTCGCCAACTGATAGATAATCATTGATATTATAATCAGCTTTTGTATTGTATAATAAGTTTAACAACAAGATAGTAAACACTACTTTCATTTTTATTATTAGTTTATGTTTATGTTTTTATTTAATTAATTGATACATGTGCAACATTTACATAAAATTAATTATTTATAATTATTAAATTTCAAATGCTGCTACACAATATTTAAAGAAAGTACTAATTGTAATAGCATAAGAATTAATAGCATAAAGTAATAATTTTATAAACTGTTATTTTGCATTAAATCTAAAATCAGTAGAAATAATAACCAAGATTTTACATTTATAATTAATGCTTAAGTGAAGTAAATAATTTAACAAGTAAATAAGTAAACAAAATAAATAATTTATATGTCAGCATAATTTACAATGTATTAAATATTTTCATCATCAGAATATACGTAATACAGATAAATGTTGTTATTAGCATTTTGAGTATTATTCATTACCCTTTGGTAACGGTTGTGGTCTTAGGATACACTAGAGGTCACTCAGAGAGTAAGAGAGAGTAATATTTGTTGAACAGAGAGTTTCATTCTCTTGTTTTAGTCAAAAACGTATGCAGTTTTGGACGAAACATGTGAGCAGTTTTGTGTACTTCAGACCACAACCGGTTAAATATAATTATCATATTAAACGCGTGAATGGCCACAAATAGGCACAGGCATCGCCATAACATGGTCGTTTTCCGTTGACTAGCCAGGTAAAGTAGAATGTTCTGGGTCATGGTGACCAGCAAGTAAATAATTGCTATTACAAAACGGTACACGCGGTTTAATTTAACTATATTATGCGTGATAAAATGGTGTTCGCATATGGACTTGATGAATACGTAAATATTACCATGCTGAGCGCTAAAGGTAACTTTCTTGTTAATTTCCCGCAGTTGATACATTATATACGTTACGGCAGTAAAGCCCATGACATACCAGGCGATACAAATGGTGTAAAACTCGCGTACAGTTTCGTAGGTAATTACTGACCAGAATATCATTATAGTAATACTTTTACCATCGTCAGCATTAATGTATGCCACTATTGATAAGCAAACGAACAACATTGATGTAAATATTACCATCGTGTAGAATAGCCACTGTTTAATGCATTTAGCCGCAAAATTGACCCTGTACGCAAATTTCGCGTTATTAACCGGATTTAACGGATTCGACTGTTGTTTGTGAATTATCATGTTTATAAAATCTATAACAAATAAACGTCGATTGTGTTCAAAATACACGATTAATGGCAAACCCATAACTGGTATCGTAACAAAAATGCACAATAAAATTGACACAATTCGCGAGTTTCCTATTAAATGATTGGCGTTTGTCGTAAATTCTGTCACGAGTTTATTATCTGGAAATGTGGCCATGGTGATACATCTCAACAAACCCAATGTGGTAATTGTTTGTGTAATGAATAGCCGGTATATTCTGTATTGAGAATAGTGACCCCCATTGCAGTAGTGGTCAAAATTATTTGCCATTATTACCCGATTATTGGCACAGAATTTGTTCATTTCTGTCAACGCTGGCAACGGATCGCTGTTTTCATTTTGAATATATTGTATGTGTTTTTGCAAATTAAAACCACCTCGCTTCATAAAACTATTTTTCATCCTAAGAACTATGTTGAACATTTTGTTTGTTAATTAATTGACTTTTTCAATAATTTAACCGTTAATTATAATCATTACTAATATGGTTTTAAACAATCATAGCAATATAATTAATATGTAATATGAAATCATCTACCGTATTTTACTTTTAAAATATAATGATGTTATTAATAGTAATTTATATTAATATTCACTTTTACATTATCAATAAATCCAATATATTTTTATATAATTTATTAATAATATAAAGATATTGATTTCTCATTAGACAAAGAAAATAATATTTCAATAAATATGTACTTTAATTGCGTGCTATCATTATAAGTCAATCTTACTAATAAATCAATATGCTACTATTGTAAAATACATAGAATATAATATTTTACATTATGGTAAAACTTGAAATAAAACATTTATAACCATAATGCATGACGACCTTTTAATTAATAAAATAATAAATGTAGCTACAAAAATATTATCATTTAATTAATCAGTACAATCTTGCGTTGTTATAACTCTGCTGCGGTATATACGGTGGCGGGTCATGGGTTACCGGCATATCGGGTGCATAGGCCGGGTTGCTATGATTGTAGAGAACAGTAGTGGGCGAGCCCTGGAATGAATTACCACGGAGCTTTATCACATATATACCAATACCAATGATGACCAGTGCAAACAGGGGTATCAGCGCTTTGAACAGAGGGTTTGGGTGTCGACTGGAGGTCGAGTCCACTGACTTGTCGTTAACAGGAATCGACTTTTTGGACCCCTGTTTCTCGAGAAAACGCCAATTAAACTCGAGGTAATCGGTTTTGACCGACGGTATAAAACACATGATCGTCCCGTTGATGTCCGCGTCAGCGTTCGGGTGCTCGGCGTTGACTGTCCCCATATAATACCCAGATTAATTTCATTACAAGTTATCAAGTAGTTATTTCAGTTAAACACTACATTAGTTTAAGTTTTAACTAGATTAATATGTAATACTGCTTAAGTAATTTGTATGTTAAAATTCTATTAAACTCATAAACTTAAAAGTTTAATTGAAATAAATAATAAAATGTACGTTTATGGGGAGAGGAGGTGACTGGAAACATAAAACACATTATACTTACAGCAGTCCTTGTTGTAGATATGATAAAAGCCTTCGTCATGGGATTTGCCGATCCGTACGGTATGGCTATTGAAGTGATGCATCATTTTATACCATCCGTTGTCCAGTTTGTGAAATATGTGCCAGAATTTGGCCTTTTTTACATCGAGGTCTTCAGCAATGGTTCCCGTTTTGCCGAACCATATGAGGAATTTGCTGGTCCTCTGGTTCTGTATGGCATAGTATGTGTTGGTCTTCAGCTGTAACTCATCCCCA